GGAATGGACAGTGATGTCATTTGTTTACTCTGAAATAGCCAAGCAATGGACCATTTCTCCTAGGTTGAGCTCAATTTCAAGGCACTTTTCATCATGAAAGCAATCAAAGTCATAACTATTTCTATAATATATCTTCCATTTTACCAAATGAGACCAAAAAAACAAGAATACAACCATAAAAAACCATTTGAAATTACCGCTAAGGGGTGGCTAATTGCTGAGAAATGAACTCCATTATTTATGCTCAGATTTATTTCATTATCATTATTGTTATTATTATTATTATTATTATTTTTTTTTTCAACAAGTCGGTCGTCTCCCACCGAGGCAGGGTGACCCAAAAAAGAAAGAAAATCCCCAAAAAGAAAATACTTTCATCATCATTCAACACTTTCACCATACTCACACATTATCACTGCTTTTGCAGAGGTGCTCAGAATACAACAGTTTAGAAGCATATACGTATAAAGATACACAACATATCCCTCCAAACTGCCAATATCCCAAACCCCTCCTTTAAAGTGCAGGCATTGTACTTCCCATTTCCAGGACTCAAGTCCGACTATATGAAAATAACCGGTTTCCCTGAATCCCTTCACTAAATATTACCCTGCTCACACTCCAACAGATCGTCAGGTCCCAAGTATCATTCGTCTCCATTCACTCCTATCTAACACGCTCATGCACGCTTGCTGGAAGTCCAAGCCCCTCGCCCACAAAACCTCCTTTACCCCCTCTTTGCAACCCTTTCGAGGACGACCCCTACCCCTCTTTCCTTCCCCTATAGATTTATATGCTTTCCATGTCATTCTATTTTGATCCATTCTCTCTAAATGACCAAACCACCTCAACAACCCCTCTTCTGGCCTCTGACTAATGCTTTTATTAACTCCACACCTTCTCCTAATTTCCACACTCCGAATTTTCTGCATAATATTTACACCACACATTGCCCTTAGACAGGACATCTCCACTGCCTCCAACCGTCTCCTCGCTGCTGCATTTACCACCCAAGCTTCACATCCATATAAGAGTGTCGGTACTACTATACTTTCATACATTCCCTTCTTTGCCTCCATAGATAACGTTTTTTGACTCCACATATACCTCAACGCACCACTCACCTTTTTTCCCTCATCAATTCTATGATTAACCTCATCCTTCATAAATCCATCCGCCGACACGTCAACTCCCAAGTATCTGAAAACATTCACTTCTTCCATTCTCCTCCTCCCCAATTTGATATCCAATTTTTCTTTAAATCATTTGATACCCTCATCACCTTACTCTTTTCTATGTTCACTTTCAACTTCCTACCTTTACACACATTCTCAAACTCATCCACTAACCTTTGCAATTTTTCTTTAGAATCTCCCATAAGCACAGTATCATCAGCAAAAAGTAACTGTGTCAATTCCCATTTTGAATTTGATTCCCCATAATTTAATCCCACCCCTCTCCCGAACACCCTAGCATTTACTTCTTTTACAGCCCCATCTATAAATATATTAAACAACCATGGTGACATTACACATCCCTGTCTAAGACCTACTTTTACCGGGAAGTAGTCTCCCTCTCTTCTACACACCCTAACCTGAGCCTCACTATCACTATTATTAGTATTATTATTATTATTATTATTATTATTATTATATAAATTTGTAATTTTTATTCACACAAAAAATATAAGATTTACTGTGATGTCATTTGTTTACACTGAAACAGCCAAGCACTGGACCATTTCTCCTAGGTTGAGCTCTATTTCAAGGTACTTTTTGTCGTGAAAGCAATCAAAATCATATCTATTTCTGTAATATATCTTCCATTCTATCAAATGAGACCAAAAAAAACGAGAATGCAACCATAAAAACCATTCGCAATTACCGCTAAGGGGTGGCTAATTGCTGAAAAGTGAACTCCATTATTTATGCTTAGATTTCTTTCATTTTTGGTGTACGTTAAGAAGCATCTTTCCATCATACATTGCCCAAGTTTCAATAAGATAGTCCAACAAACATTTGAGATACAATTCCCGAGATAAAGAGCAAGAGCCCCTCACCATTGTCAAGGAACCTGCCTTGAGGTCTGCTCGCTTGTGGAAATTTTGCTCGCGTATGGAAGCAAAAAATCGACCCATTGACTGGTCGTATTTGGAAAAGCTCGCATGTGGACACACTCGCAAGTAGAGGTTCCACTGTACTCCCTCCATCTTTCCAATACTTCCAGCTCTCTCTAACTAATAACTCTCCTATATTTAAATGTTAAATTCATTTGTTCCCTTGGCTTTCTTAACTTACTAATCTTATTCCAAATCTTTCTTATTCTCAGCACTTACCCACTATCTCATTTGCTCTCCTTTTACATACCTTACATGTGTATAGCTATAAATACTTTTTTCTATTTTTTTTTAACACGTCAGCCATTTCCCACCAAGGCAAGGTGACCCAAAAAGTAACAAAAACCCCAAAAGAAAGAAAAAACTTGTATCATCATTCACCATCATTCATGTTCAAATATTTGGGAGTGTATTTGTTGGCAGATGGGTTTGTGAAAGATAAGGAGAACCATGGAATTGACTAAGGTGAAAAGGTGGGTGGTGAGGTATCTGGAGACAGAACATCATCCATGGAGGTTTTAAACATGGCAGTGAGGTGGAGGCTGGAGGCAGTTCAGATATCATGTCTGAGGGTAGTGTGTGGTATGAATATTATGCAGAGAAGGCATAGTTTGGATATTAAAAGGAGGTGTGGAGTTGCTAAAAGTATTATCCTGAGGTGCTGAGGAGGGGTTAGTGAGGTGGCTTGGACATTTATAGACAATGAAGCAAATTGGGATGACTTGGAAAGTGTATAAATTTGTAGTGGAAGGAAGGAGGGGTAGGGCTCATCGAAAGTTTTAGTGAGAGGCTTGGACATTCAACAGGTGTGTGTGGCATGTTTGTTAGGAGTGACTGGAGGCAAGTGCTTTTATGACTTGATGTGCTGTTGGAGTGTGAGCAAAGTAACATTTATGAAGGGATTCAGGGAAACCAGTTAGTTGGACTTGAATTCTGGAGGTAGGAAGTACAGTGCTTGCACTCTTAAGGAGGGGTGGAGATATTGCAGTTTGGAGGGGCATCTGAACTGTAATGTCAGCACTCCACTGTCAAGATGGTGATGGGGTGAGTGTTAGTGAAAGTGTTTCTTCTTGTTTGGTTCACCTTACCTTGGTGGGAGATGGCCAGTGTGATTAAAAAAAACTCCTGATGCCATATACTTTCAATCAAATAAAAATGCATCAGTATATACTAATTGTAATTTTTTATTGTATGAAAAAAAACTTTAGGACTGATTTTCGGTGATTTATTCCTTATAATTTGGGTAAAATCTCAAAACAACCAATTTGTAAATTTTATGTAACATTCATCAGTCTGCATTGTTACCTACAGTGAGCAAGCACATTGAAAGGGAAAGAAGAGAAGTTTATACTGCATAGAAATAAGTCATTATTTTCTTAAGGCGAGAAAACTAACACTTTGCGAACTGGAGGCATAAGGCCAACAAGTGGCATTAGACACATTCAAAATACTTCTTAGTGGCCATAATATAAACTGCAAATCAATGATTTGTGGAATATGTGGTTACAAAGTTAAAAAATAAGTAAGTTGATTAATACCTTACCATGGATCATTGAGTCGTGATTCTAGCTACAAGCATTGTAATATGGTCATTAAGAGTTACAATTTGAGCCACCAAAACCTTACAGCATGTATCGTTAAGAATTATGATTCAAACCACCAGAATATTTACAAACTTTATAAACAATTAAATTAACATTTTGTCAAAATTAATACAGAAAACTTACCTTCAGTTTCTTCACTGCTTACTTAGTGTCTTTGCACTTACAGTGCAGTTTAGTGGTAAAATCACTTCAGTAATATAACAGTTCAGGAAGCTAACAGATTGCTGACTCTTCAAGGGGGGGGGGCCCTTGATGATGGTGAAGGGCTCTCGGTCCAAGGAATTGGAACTACCCTCCTCTTCCTTGGATTAAATCTGATTGTCTCTCATTCCCCAGGTATTGTATGATTCCCACAGATTTAGCACTCCCCCACAAATGTAATAATTCTGCAAAGAATCACCAAGAATCATTTATGTATGTATGTGTATTGCTGGAAAATTTAACATAAATTCAAGTTATAAATCAGAAAATTTGGAGTGCAAGTAGAAACAGGTGCTAATTTAATGGGATTGAATGCTCAGAAATTTGTAAGCTGAGAATCGTAGGTTGAGGTAAACTGTACAGTGTATAAAATAGTGTCTGATGACTTACTTGTGGCAACAGGATCAGAGTTACGTTTGTGGTGTCCTATAATGTAGTATTTTAAACCTTGAGAGTGCAGTATTATATTTATTTCCTAAATGTTGAGATTGTGTTTGGGATATGTACTTTGATTTCCAGCTGCTACTATCTTAGTTTAGCTTGATAGCTTTATTATGCATCCTATACCAGTTCTGTAGGTGGTAATCAAAAGATTACAGAGGCATATGGAATTGTAGTTCCTGATCTTGCATGCAAGAAATCAGTTGCAGTAGTACATCAGTCATTCTGTTTCTATATACTCATTTTGCTTCCCTGTATAAAAATAGGCTTGATATGCCCTCATGCATACTAGGCATGCAGTATTTAAATGTTCTCACTGTAGATATACAGATGTCCCTGACTTTATGTAAGAGATGCATTCCCGGCTCATGGCAACTGTAGTACTAAGTTAAATCAGCTGTCAACACTTAATTCCTCATGGTCTTAAGTACTGTGCATTTTGTAAATGGTACTGAATGCATGCTGTAAATGTATCTCTCACATAAGGAATTATTGTTAGAAATGGGGCATGACGTATTAGCAAATTCATATAAAGCAAACCCACATAAGCCAGGTAAACCTGTATGTATATGTATTCTTGTTTTGATTTATTGACAGATATTACCTGTAGATTAATTGTTCCTTGTTCTTCCCTTCAGATGTTACTTAAAAGAAGATCATGGCCAGCCCATATTTGGGGTACAGTTTAATCAGCACCTACGTGATGGTCAACCACTAGTGTTTGCAACTGCTGGCAATAATCGCGTCTCTGTTTATCAATGTATGGATGATGGTTCGATTAAAATTCTTCAGTGCTATAGTGATCCTGATGTAAGTTTTTTTGTGTTTTTCATTGTAAATTATGTGAGGATATAATTCATTTTTTCTTTTATCTTGTAAAAACACACAGCAGTGCACTTGGATATATGTACTGTATTGTATTATGGTACTGTATGCAGTATTATTGTTTATTCCTTGGTTAATTTTGTTCTTGTGATGAATATTCTTTTATTTTTGTAATGTTGGAATGTGAGCAGGATAATATTTAGTGAAGGGATTCAGGGAAACCGGTTATTTTATATAACCGGACTTGAGTCCTGGAAATGGGAAATACAATGCCTGCACTCTAAAGGAGGAGTTTGGGATATTGGCAGTTTGGAGAGATATATTGTGTATTTTTATACGTATATACAGTGGACCCCCGCTTAACGATCCCCTCGAAATGCGACCAATTATGTAAGTGTATTTATGTAAGTGCTTTTGTACATGTATGTTTGGGGGTTTGAAATGGACTAATCTACTTCACAATATTCCTTATGGGAAAAAATTCGGTCAGTACTGGCACCTGAACATACTACTGGAATGAAAAAAGTTCGTTAACCGGGGGTCCACTGTACTTCTAAACTGTTGTATTCTGGGTACCTCTGCAAAAACAGTGATTATGTGTGGGTGAGGTGAAAGTGTTGAATGATGATGAAAGTATTTTCTTTTTGGGGATTTTCTTTCTCTTTGGGTCACCCTGCCTCGGTGGGAGATGGCCGACTTGTTGAAAAAAAAAAAAATTACAATATCTGCATGGCTATAACTTTATCTTTCTTTTTGGATCCAGCCGGAAGAAAACTTCTACACGGTAGCATGGAGCTATGACACAGAAACAGGTCGGCCAATTCTTGCTGCTGCTGGATCACGGGGTGTTATACGGATTTTTTCCCTTGCCACAATGCAATGTGTTAAGCATTTTATAGGTAAGAGCATGTACAAAATGCATAAAGGAAATTTTTCAATACATGAGTCTTTCTGGGTAAAATATACAGTGGACCCCTGGTTTTCGTAATTAATCTGTTCCAGAGAGAGTGACTAAACCCGAGTCTGATGATTTCCGAATTAATTTTCCCCATAAGAAATAATGTAAATCCAATTAATCCGTTCCAGACACCCAAAAGTATTAAACAAATTTTTTTTATAGATTAAATATAGATTTACATACAGAAAAGAATGAGAAATCAAGTATAAAACAATAATATCATACTTACCTTTATGTAAGACTCTTGTTGGTGTATGGAAGATGGGAGGAGGGGAGAGGGTTAGTGATGCTCCTCCACAAATGTTTGCACCTCACTCCACTTTCCACAAATGTCCTTAATCTTTGAAGAAGGCACCTTTCCCCTCTCTTACTCCTCCTCTGAAGCAATTTCCTCAGCTGGTGTACATAAGAAAGCAGGAACACTGCAGCAGGCCTGTTGGCCCATACTAGGCAGGTCCTTCACAAACCATCCCACAAACAGAATTGTATTTGCCCAACCCAATTTTCAATGCTTCCCAAACAATAAGCTTTGATAATTCTATTCACTCATGTGCAAGTCCCACTCAGATTAAATCGTGTGTGGTGAAGTACCCTGTCTGGTGTGTGGGGTGAGTACCCTGGCTGGTGTGTGGGGAAGCGCCCTGACTGGTGTGTGGGGAGGGAAGTACCCTGGCTGGTGTGTTCTTTCTTGAATCCTATTGTGTTTATTGCCTTCTTTACCAAAGGTCTGGCACTAGGAGCTTTCTTTTGGCCTATGGTGGCTTATTTAACAGTTGCAAGCAATAAAAAGAATGGAATACAAAATGTATTGTATGAACGAGTGGGATCATGTTCACTGGCTGTAAATGGTGTGTCGGCACACAGACATGTTCAGGATGAGTGATTGTTACCAAGTTCATTGACGATCACCGAGCCATATTTTGACGAAAAAACTTTACTTATTCTGAATATTGCGAAATCCGACTACTACATAATCCGGGGTCCACTGTAATAGAGAAAATTAAAGCTTACAATAGGCATCAAGGAGAGCCTGGGAAAATTTATGAAGTGTTTGAAGAATATTTTCTGTATCACCACTTATTTTTTTTAAATAGTTTTCATTACTCTTTTTAAAACAAAATGCTCTCAATATTATTGATCCATGTTAGATATATTTAGTAATTTAGAAAAAAAAAGTCATTCAAGTGGTCTATACATCATGTCCCATACATTGTTCTCAGATTTTTGTTTGTATACGTAACTAAACATGCTCAGAGGTGAGGCCGGATATTTACTTTGCTAAACCATGTTTTTAATTTTTCCTGTTTCTCACAAATTTTCCTGAAGGTCATGGAAATGCTATTAATGAATTGAAGTTTCACCCACGTGACCCCAACCTGTTATTATCAGTTAGCAAGGATCATGCTTTAAGAATGTGGAACATTCGTACTGACATCTTGGTAGCCACGTTTGGTGGGGTTGAAGCACATAGAGATGAAGTATTAAGCACCGTGAGTAAATTTCTTGTATATGTTTATGGGTACTGTATTTTGGTTTACCCTTAGAACTCTGTGAAACTGAGTTCTGTGTTTGATGCATGATTTTTATAGCTAAGCAGTTCTTGTGCATTTGAGATTGTCCTCAGAGTACAGTACTGTTGAAACAATTCTTAAGGGCTCATAGCTGAGATAGCACTTGGTATAATTAGTGAAGCTTCTGTAATGAAGTTAGTACATTTCTTGTGGAGATAGTGCAGTCTGAAAGTATAATGCTAATAAGTGAAAAAAGAAACTAGCAGCAGTGAAGTCCTGTACTGGTGCACCATTTCACCTATGAGTGGCTTTTTCAAGTACAGTATATAATGAATATGAGATTCAATGGCTTAAATGGTAAGCAGGGTATAAGAGTCAGGTTTAGTGCAGACATCATATGTGTCGTCCATGTCCAACCTCAGATTTTGTAGCTACATGATCTACCATTGCAAACATGATCTAGACAGTGTATACTGGCATGCCAGGAACAAGGATATACCTGTAGAATAGCATCAATAATGTGTGTGTATGCACAACACCACAGCCCCTACTCATACCTAATAACGGGTAAAGCCAAGGTACTATTCCAGGAAAATGATAAGGTTGAACATAGATGCTGAGATTTGTAATTTACATGCAAATACCATGAAACAAATAGTGGGATGTTCACTTTAGCATCCCCTATATTTCACATTGTTTTAGAACAAAGGTAACTTTGCCAGTAGGCAACAAGCAGTATGTCCATAAGCTTAAACTTGAGGCATATGACACCTGCACCTGTTTTAACTCTTAAACCTTGCATTACTATTTAAGCTGTTGTATCTCATGGAGAAAGTGTTTAATTAATAAAGAGGTTTGGGATATTTGCTCTTTGGAGTGACAACTGTGGTATCTGCACACCTCTGAATGATGAAAGTGTTTTTCTTTTTTGGATCACCCTACCTTGGTGGGAGACAGCCAGAACAAAAAAAATACTGGAGCTATACTTTCCTTCCTCAGATCAGACTTGATTATCTTCCCATCCCTAGGGACTGTATAACTCTTGGGGATCTGGTGCTTCCCTTTTGAATGTAATAATTTTTTTTTCTGTTTTTATTGGTCATCTCCCACCAAAGTAGAGTGACACCAAAAATGGAAATACATTCACTTATAATTCTCTAATTGTCTTGCCAGAAGTGTACTGACATCACAGATCAGATGACCCTCCATTTGCATCATCCCCACTCTTCCTTCAGAGTGCATTCACTGCCATTCCCACCTGCAGGACTCAGATCCAGCTATCTAGTTTCCCTGAAATACTTCATAAAGGGTTTCCTTGCTTACACTCTGACAGCACATCAAAAATTAAAGAGCACTTGTTTTCAGTCTGATCAAATGTGCTCACACAGGACCTGCTTGATGCTCGAGCTCTTAACAATCAAAAATCTGTACTCCCCCCAGCTATTCCTGAGAAGACCCCTACCCTTTCCTTCCTTCCTTCCACCCCAGATTGATACACCATCTTTGTCCTGTCTTCATCCTTTCTAGATACTCAGACCTCAACCACCCTTTCTCAGCCCTCTGAATTATATTCTTGGTGTCTACACTCCAAATTTTATATTATATTTACACAACACAGTGTTCTCATATATGATGTCTCCATTGCTTCTAGCCTCCATTGCAACACTCAAAGCCCATTTCTTACATCCGAGTATAATTGTTTGTATTACTGTACACTGGTAAGTTTTCCTTTTAACCTTGTTTATTTCATGGTTCACAAAATTTTTCATAGACCCATCTGTAGACATGTCCACCCTTAGATGTTTAGATACATCTATTTCCTCTATACTCCCTCTTTCAACTATGCTATCCAGTCTTTTATTGCCTAGACATTTTGTTACTTTTATCACCTTGCTCTCTTACATTTTCCATTTTAATTTCCTTTTATATACTTCCAGCAAGCATTTGTTTACATGTTAGATAAGAGCGAATGGAGACAAATGGTTTTTAGGACTTGACGTGCTGTTGGAGTGTAAACAAAGTAACATTCATGAAGAGATTCAAGGAAACAGGCAGGCCGGACTTGAGTCCTGGAGATGGGAAGTACAGTGCCTGCACTCTGAAGGAGGGGTGTTCATGTTGCAGTTTTATAACTGTTGTGGAAACACGGCTCTGGCAAGACAGTGATGAAGTGAATGATGATGAAAGTTTTTCTTTTTAGGGCCACCCTGCCTTGGTGGGAAATGGTTAATGTGTTAATAAAAATAATAATTAATAATAAAAAATAAATACCCTCCCAGATTCATCCACCAACCTTTGCAGATTATCTTCAGAATGTCCCAAAAGAACTGTCATTGACAAAGAGCAACTGTGACAACTCCCACTTTGTATCAGATCTTTTTTTAACATGCTGGCTGTCTCCTACGAAGGCAGGGTGACCCAAAAAAGAAACACCATCATTTACACTATCACACTTCTCAATACTCGTCCATTCACTTCTTGTATAACCCCATCTATAACCTCAGCATGCATCCCTGTAAGTCCTGCTTTCAGTGGAAAATAGGCACTCTACCTCCTACATACCCGAACTTGAGTCTTATTCTCCACATAAAATCTCGTGTTTTTAGTAACCTACCACCTATTCTGTACATTTAGCACATTGGTCCATTCACCTTATCATATGCCTTTTCTAATTCCATAAATGAAACAAACAACTCTTTACCCTTATCTAAATGTTGCTCACTTACATGTTCAGTATAATAATACAGTGGAACCCCAAATATTGGCCGCTGGGTTTATCGGCCGAATCGTATTTAGGCTGGGTTTTGGGTGGAAATTTTGCTCCGTATTTCAGCTGGTGCCTCACAAATCAGCTGTATTATACGTGTCGCCTCCTGCCAGGACGGTGTGCATAGGTGAGTCAGTCTCCCTGTGTCTCTCGGTGAATGAGCATATACTCCCCACATTCATCCAAATATTTCCTTAAAATCCATTGGTTTTTGTGCTTGTTTATTAAGTGCGACTGTGAAATAAGCCACCATGGGCCCAAAGAAAGTTCCTAGTAATGTTCCTTTGGTAAAGAAAGTGAGAAACATGATGGAATTAAGAAAGAAGTTATTGAAAAATATGCGAGTGGTGTGCGGGTGCTGGAACTTGCTAGGATGTATGGTAAATCCAATTCAACAATCCCATCCTGGCAAAGAAAGAACAAACCAAGGAAGCTGATGTGGCAAAAGTTAGCAGGAGATGGTGTTTCAGAGACAATCATTTGTGAAAAGGCAAGGCAGTTACATGCGGATCTTCTAAAGAAAATGCTTGGAACTAATGCTGATGCTAGTGAATTTAAGTCCAGCAGAGGGTGGTTTGACAGATTTAAGAAGCGTAGTGACATACACAGTGTTGTAAGGCATGGTGAGGCTGCAAGTTCAGACAAACACACGACTGAAAAATTTGTGCAAGAATTCAAGGGGTACGAAGAGACTGAAGAATTCCACCCAAACAAGTGTTCAATTGTGACGAAACTGGCCTCTTTTGGAAGAACATGCCAAAGAGGACCTACATCACGCAGGAGGAAAAGGCACTGTCAGGACACAAGCCTATGAAGGATATGCTTACTCTGGTTCTGTGCTAACTCTAGTGTGGATTTCAAAGTGAAGCCTTTACAAGCGTTCAGTTGTGGCAAAACAGGCCTCTTTTGGAAGAAAATGCCAAAGAGGACCTACATCATGCAGGAGGAAAAGGCACTGTCAGGACACAAGCCTATGAAGGATAGGCTTACTCTTTTGTTCTGTGCTAATGCTAGTGAAGATTTCAAAGTGAAGCCTTTACTAGTGTATCACTGAAAATCCCAGAGTGTTCAAGAAAAACAATGTCGTCAAGAGTAAATTGTGTATGATGTGGAAAGCTAATCATAAGGCACGGGTCACAAGGGAACTTTTCATTGACTGGGTCCAGGAAAATAAATTGCCACTCTAGTGCCTCCTGGTAATGGACAGTGCTCCTGCTCATCCTCCAAACTTGGTAGACCAGTTGTCTAGGGATTTCAGGTTTATAACAGTGAAGTTCTCGCCTCCTAACACCACTCCTCTCATCCAGCCCATGGACCAGCAGGTCATTTCTAACTTTTAAAAAACTACACAAAATCAGTGTTTCAAAGGTGCTTTGAAGTGACCTCGGACACTGACTTGACCTTAAGAGAGTTCAGGAGGAATCACTTCATTATCTACAGCTGCATAAGCCTTATAGGTAAGGCTTGGCAGGGAGTGACTTCCAGGACTTTGAAATTCTTCTTGGAGAAAATTGTGGCCAGAATATGTCCTCGAGAAGGATTTTGAAGGGTTTGAGGCTGACCCTGATGACCCTATGCCTGTTGTGGATTCTATTGTGTCTTGGGGAAGTCCATGAGATTGGATGTGAGTGGCGAGGATGTGGAAGAGTTGGTGGAGGACCACAGGGAAGAGCTGCAACACCTTCAAATGGAGCAGCAACAGACCACAGCTGAGGAACTTGTTTCAGAGGAGGAGGAGGAAGAGAGAGGGAAGGAGGTGCCTTCTTCAGAGATTAAGGAGATTTGTACAATGTGGAGTAGGATGCAAGCTTTTACTGAGAAATATCACCCTGACCAAGCTAAAACAAGCCATATCTGCAACATGTTCAGTGACAAAACCTTGGCCCACTTCAGGCAAATCTTAGAGGCGTCAGAAACAGACCTCTCTGGACAGTATTTTTGCACAACAGGGGTCCAGTGACTCTCAAGCTGGTCCTAGTACCATTAAAAGACAAAGAAGGGAAGTAACCCCAGAGAAGGACTTGATACTTGAAGTCATTGTGGAGGGGGATTCCCCTTCCAAACAATAACCTCCCCTCCTCCCTCTCCCCTCCTCCCTGTCTTCAATGCACCAACAAGAGTCTTCTATACAGGTAAGTAATAATGATTTAAATGTTCATTTATATGCAATTGTCATTGTTTTGTGTATGTAAAACTATAGTTAAACTACAAAATTTATTTTTATTGTTATTTTTGGGTGTCTGGAACGGATTAATTCTTTTTTTCTTTCTCAACAAGTTGGCCGTCTCCCACCAAGGCAGGGTGACCTAAAAAAAAAAAGAAAACCCCAAAAAGAAAATACTTTCATCATCATTCAACATTTTTACCTCACTCACACATAATCACTGATTTTGCAGAGGTGCTCAGAATACAACAGCTTAGAAGCGTGTACGTATAAAGATACACAACATATCCTTCCAAACTGCCAATATCCCAAACCCCTCCTTTAAAGTGCAGGCAATGTACTTCCCATTTCCAGGACTCAAGGCCAGCTATATAAAAATAACCGGGTTCCTTGAATCTCTTCACTAAATATTACCCTGCTCACACTCCAACAGCTCGTCATGTCCCAAATACCATTCGTCTCCATTCACTCTTATCTAACACGCTCATGCATGCTTGCTGGAAGTCCAAGCCCTTCGCCCACAAAACCTCCTTTACCCTCTCCCTCCAACCTTTTCGAGGACGACCCCTACCCCGCCTTCCTTCCCCTACAGATTTATACACTCTCCATGTCGTTCTACTTTGATCCATTCTCTAAATGACCAAACCACCTCAACAACCCCTCTTTAGCCCTCTGACTAATACTTTTATTAACTCCACACCTTCTCCTAATTTCCACACTCCGAATTTTCTGTATAATATTTACACCACACATTGCCCTTAGACAGGACATCTCCACTGCCTCCAACCGCCTCTTCGCTGCAGCATTTACAAACCAAACTTCACACCAATTTAAGAGTGTTGGTACTACTATACTTTCATGCATTCTCTTCTTTGCCTCCATAGATAATATTATTTGTCTTCACATATACCTCAATGCACCACTTACCTTTTTTTTTCATCGATTCTATGATTAACCTCATCCTTCATAAATCCATCCACTGATAGGTCAACTCCCAAATACAGTGGACCCCCGACTTACGATATTAATTCGTTCCAGAAGTCTGTTTGGGTGCCGTTACCGAACGAATTTGTTCCCATAAGGAATATTGTAAATTAGATTAGTCCGTTTCAGACCCCCAAAAATACACGTGCAAAAGCACTTACAAAAATACACTTACATAATTGTTCGAGTTGGGAGCTGATCGTAAGGCGGGGGTCCACTGTATCCGAAAACATTCACTTCTTCCATACTCCTCCTCCCCAATTTGATATCCAATTTTTCTTTATCTAAATCATTTGGTACCCTCATCACCTTACTCTTTTCTATGTTCACTTTCAACTTTCTACCTTTACACACACTCCCAAACTCGTCTACTAACCTTTGCAATTTTTCTTTAGAATCTCCCATAAGCACAGTATCATCAGCAAAAAGTAACTGTGTCAATTCCCATTTTGTATTTGATTCCCCATAATTTAATCCCACCCCTCTCCCGAACACCATAGCATTTACTTCTTTTACATTTTACTACTTTTGAATGATAAAGAAAGTATTTTCTTTCTTTTTTGGGTCACCCTGCCTCGGTGGGAGATGGCCGACTTGTTGAAAAAAAAAAAATCTATAAATATATTAACCCCTTCAGGGTCCAAGGCCAAAATCTGAAGTGGTGCCCCAGTGTCCAAGTACAGTATTTAAAAAAAAAATTTTTGTTATTTTTTCTTAAGAAATGGTAGAGAATCTTTTTGTGAAGGTAATAAAACAAAAAGTATGAAATTTGATGGAAAATTGACGAAATTATGCTCTCGCGAATTTTGATGTGTCAGCAGTATTTACGAATTGGCGATTTTGCCGAATTTGACTCCCATTTTAGGCCAATTACATTATTCCAGTCGACAAAATTCTTAGCTATTTCACTAGTATTACTTCCATTCTATCGATTGAGCACAAGAAATCCCCAAGTCAACTGTTTCAACTACAAAATAGAGTGATCGGAAATTGGTAATTTGGCCAATTTAACACAAAGTTCAAAATATTCCAATTTCAAAATAGGGTCCAGAATAAACAATGTAGGTATTCCTGGCACTAAACTAACATTTCCTCTGTTCATTAGTTACATTTTGAGGCTTTACAAATAAATTCCATTTTTATTTTTTATTCACATAATGAATTTTTATTCACACCAAAAAATAGAAGATTTACTGTTATGCAATATTGTAATAATTGCATAAATATCATCACCACATTTGTGAATGTATATTAGACCCACCAGCTGGCGTGTATTAGACGTGTGAGGTTGTTTGTTTACTCTTGAACATCGGCAAAAATTTAACATTTCCGCTACTTTGAGCTCAGTTTCAAGCCATTTCAAGTGCTAAAACCAATCAAAATCATCTCTATTCCTGTAATATGTCTTTCATTCTATCAAATGAGACCAAGAAATTGCAAATACAACTATAAAAAACATATGAAAAAACACTGTAAAGTTGCTGTTTTAATCGAAAATCATGGTCTCAGTTTTTTTCTCTCATTATACACAGTGTGCTGCAGGATTTGTTTTATGTGGTGCACACATACCACATAGATGTATTCTCTCATATCTAGGCCCAAATGTACCACTCAGTTTATCAGAGGGAGCTGAGCTCATGATGTAGATCTACGGTTTGGACCCTGAATGTAAAGCCGTAGATCTACGGGACAGACCCTGAAAGGGTTAAACAACCATGGTGACATTACACATACCTATCTAAGACCTACTTTTACTGGGAAGTAGTCTCCTTTTATACATTTATTGAACAAAAATACCAACCACTCCAACACTATATTTCCCCCTGCTTTTAACATTTCTGTCATGATCCCATCAGTTCCAGCTGCTTTACCCTCTTTCATTCTACATAATGTCTCACGCACCTCCCCCACACTCACATCCTGCTCTTCTTCACTCCTAAAAGATGGTATACCTCCCTGGCCAGTGCATGAAATTACCGCCTCTCTTTTTTCGTCGACATTTAAGTTCCTCAAAATATTCTCGCCATCTACCCAATGCCTCCATCTCCCCATGTACTAACTCCTCTACTCTGTTTTTAACTGACAAATCCATTCGTTTCCTAGGCTTTCTTAGCTTGTTTAACTCGCTCCAAAATTTTTTCTTATTTTCATTAAAATTTCTTGACAGTGCCTCTCCCATTCTATCATCTGCTCTCCTTTTGCACTCTCTCACCACTCTCTTCACCTTTCTTTTACTCTCTCTCTATACTCTACTCTTCATATAACACTTCTGCTTTCTAAAAACCTCTCATAAGCTACCTTTTTCTTTTTTATGACACCCTTTACTTCATCATTCCACCAATCGCTCCTTTTTCCTCCTGCACTCACCCTCCTATAACCACAAACTTCTGTCCCACATTCTAATACTGCATTTTTAAAACTATTCCAACCTTCTTCAACCCCTGCACCACTCATACTTGCACCAGCCCACCTTTCTGCCAATAGTTGCTTATACCTCACCCGAACTTCCTCCTCCCTTAGTTTATACACTTTCACCTCCCTCTTACTAGTTGTTGTCATTTTCCTCTTGTCCCATCTACCTCTTACTCTAACTGTAGCTACAACTAAATAATGATCCGATATATCAGTTGCCCCTCTGTAAATATGTACATCCTGGAGCCTACCCATCAATCTTTTATCCACCAATACGTAATCTAATAAACTACTTTCATTACGTGTTATATCATACCTTGTATATTTATTTATCCTCTTTTTCCTAAAATATGTATTACTTATTACCAAACCTCTTTCTACACATCTCAATTAAAGGCTTCCCATTTTCGTTTACCCCTTGCACCCCAAATTTATCTACTACTCCCTCCACAACATTTTTAATTTTTAAATTTTAATTTTAATTGTATTTACATTAATTCTTATGGGAAATATTGCTTCGAATTTAGGCCTTTTCAAATTTAGGCCGACCTTCTGGAACAGATTACGGCCGATATTTGAAGTTCCACTGTATTGTAATTAAATAATGAAGTTTACGAGTTGGCTATTTGACTGTATTGGTATACAGTATGTTGTTTTACAGGATATTGATGTGGAAGGTACATGCATTGTATCTTGTGGAATGGACCATTCCTTAAAGATTTGGAAGCTGACCACTGATATAATGCTTTCTACCATCAACCAATCATACACCTTCAATCCTAGTCGTGCAGTTAGACCATTCCCTACTGTGCAGCAAAATTTTCCTGACTTCTCAACCCGAGATATTCACAGGAATTATGTGGATTGCGTACGTTGGCTTGGAAGATTTATCCTTTCTAAGGTATTATTTAAATTACATTAAGTTGTTTTGCTGTTGAAGTACTGTAGTACAACTATCACCATATTTACCTATAATCATGTTGAGATGATAGAATAAATTTTTTATAACATTACTGTAGAGAGATCAAGTAAATATTGTAAAAGTTATATGCATCTTTTTGTAATCTGTTAATAATGATTGAGGACAACATATTATTGAATTATAGTATAAGTAATGAAGCTGTATCGGCACACTTCTGGCAAACCAGTGATAATGAAAGTTTTTTTTTTTTTCTTCTTTCACCCTGCTTCGGTGAGAAATGGCTGATGTGTTAAAAAACTGTTCTCAAATAAAATCTTTTTAGGCATTTGAAATGCTTTTAAGTATTAAAAAGTTAAGAAATTTATTTTAATAATGGAGACATGTACAGTAGGTATGAACACAGTTTGAAGATGGCCAGGAACAGAAGTTGTCAGTGGATAGTGGGGACTACTACCAGAAGGTTTTATGTTCTGCAGAGCATTTAACCCTTTGACTGTCGCGGCCGTATTTATACCGTGTTTGACGTATATATACTCATAAATTCTAGCGGCTTCAAATCAAGCAGGAGAAAGCTTGTAGGCCCACATGTGAGAGAATGGGTCTGTGTGGTCAGTGTGCACCATATAAAAAAAATCCTGGAGCACGCAGTGCATAATGAGAAAAAAAAAACTCCGACCGTTTTTGTTAATTAAAATGCCGACTTTGTGGTCTATTTTCGTATAGTATTTATGGTTGTATTCTCGTTTTCTTGGTCTCATTTGATAGAATGGAAGACATATTATAGAAATAGAGGTGGTTTTGATTGATTTTACTATAAAAAGAACCTAGAAATGGAGCTCAAAGTAGGGGAAATGTTTGATTTTTGCCAATGTTCAAGAGTAAACAAAAGATGCCATTGTCCAATAAATGTCCAACTAGCCATTCTAATATGCAGTCATGAATGGGTTGATGTTATTTATACAATTATTACAGTATTGCAGTAGTCTGCATAATAGTAAGTCTTCTATTTTTTGTTTGAATAAAAATTCAAATAGAAAGCAAGAGTAATATCAGAGAGGCCTGGAGACATGACTGATGAGCAAAGAAAATGTTATTTTAGAGCTAGGAATGTCTGCATTGTTCATTCTGGACCTTATTTTGAAATTGTCATATTTTTTAGTTTTCGTGAAATTGGCCAAATTGCAAATTTCTGACCACATTATTAGGTAGTTGAAATCGGTAAATGGGCAGTTTCTTGTACTCAATCGATAGAAAAAATGGAGTTCTAAAGAAATAGCTATGAGTTTGGGCGACTGGAACAATGGAATTAGCCGAAAATAGGGCTCAAAGTGGGTGAAATCGCCGATTTGTAAACAGCGCGAGGTCGCTAACTTCGCGAGAGCATAATTCCGTCAGTTTTCCATCAAATTTCGTTTTTTTTGGTGTCATTACAATTGGGAAAAGATTCTCTATCATTTCATAAGAAAAAATTATTTTTTTTTTTTTTAAATTTTGCGACACCAGGAGACACCTCAGGATTGGGGATTGCGACAGTGAAAGAATTAATTTGTGCTGTCTTAACTGTTACCAGAGTGATGTTGCTCTCCAGCATCAGCTGGGAGTACATGGCTCACAGCAACTATTTGCCATTCTCCCACTGCAGAGTCTGGACACATGCTCTATCCTCTATCCTCCTCAGCGCATGAATTGGCTGGCCCTTCTGGACCTTCTTGATGTCTTCAAAATTTGTGGCTGCTTGTATGGCCAGCTACCTTCTATGTTGGTTGTGTTGTCTGCATGGCCTCTTTATAGACATGTCTTTGAATCTGTAGTGTGTGTGGGCCTTGCCATGCTGGCTCGTGCCAGCCCCTACATGCTTGGCACAGTCTAGTGTTCAAGGAGTTACTGCTTTCCTTGGGATGTCTCAGCCTGGCATGGCCTAGTCTTGTAGATGTTTGCAAACAGCCAAACTTCCTTAGCTATGCCTACATCTGGCACCACCCATCTTAAATATTCAGAGTACCATGCTCTATGGATTGTTAGGAACTCCTTGTTTGACCAGTGGGTTCTGACATTGATAGGCTATGCAGACGTGTTTGCATCTTCAGCCTCTGTAATTATACTTGGGTGCTTGCATGCTACTGTTTGTTGGGTACTTGTGTGTGTGTGTGTACAATAGGGCCCCAACATGCAAACATCCATACTTACAGTTGACACTTCAGGGCCAGTAAATTCTAGCAAATTATTTAAAAAAAAATACCCTATTAATTTCCACCAAATGCTACATCTTTGTAATTTGTGTGTGTGTGTGCCCATTTTATGCATGTGTGGAAGGCTCACATTTGGTGAAGATTGGTCAAAAACTGTTGATTTAATAATTATGATTTTGTCAAACACAGGTAGTAGGTTGGTAGACAGCAACCACCCAGGGAGGTGCTACTGTCCTACCAAGTGAGTTTAAAATGGAAGCCTGTAATTGTTTTACATGATGGTAAGATTGCTGGTATCTTATTTCCGTCTCATAAACATGCAAGATTTCAGGTACGTCTTGCTACTTCTACTTAGGTCACACTACAAATGCATGTACAAGCATATATATACACACCAGTCTGGGTTGTCTTCTATTTTCTTACTAGTTCCTGTTCTTGTTTATTTCCTCTTATCACCATGGGAAAGTGGAACAGAATTCTTCCTCCATAAGCCACGTGTGTCGTAAGAGGCGACTAAAATGCTGGGAGCGAGGGGCTACTAACCCCGCTCCTGTATACATTACTAAAGTTAAAAAGAGAAACTTTTGTTTTTCTTTTTGGGCCACCCTGCTTTGGTGGGATATGGCCAGTTTGTTGAAAGAAGAATACAGTGGAACCTCTACTTGCAAGTTTAATCCATTCCATGACCTTGCTCGCAACTGGATTTGCTCGTTTGCAGTCAGTTTTCCTCATTTAAATTAATTGAAATGCAATTAATCCGTTCCAGTGGAATTCTGTACTTCAATAATTTTGCTAATATCTACGGTTTATTTATCTATCTGACTTCATCTAATATGACATAATAAACAATATAAATAACATAGAAACCTGATATACATGTATACTCTAAAATGAATAAAATGTGTCATTCATGTAGTGGTATGGGCGGTGTCGGCGGTGGACGAGAGTTTGTCTGGAGACCGGGCAAAATACTTCATGAATAATTTCGCTAATATCATCTATACGGCTTATTTATATATATCACAGTTCATCTAATATGACATAACAAACAATATAAATAACATAGAAACATGATATATACTCTAGAATGAATAAAATGTCATTATGTAACAGGTGGAGGCGGCCACAACCTCTCCCTCTTTGTTATGGTAAACACTGCCATCTAGTGATGGCCTTTTGAAACCGTCTATTATTATATGTAGTACATTATATTATATATGTATTATTAGAAGTTGCAGAGATTGGTGGATGAATTTGGTAGGGTGTGCAAAAGAAGAAAATTAAAAGTGAATACAGGAAAGAGTAAGGTTATGAGGATAACAAAAAGATTAGATGATGAAAGATTGGATATCAGATTGGAGGGAGAGAGTGTGGAGGAGGTGAATGTATTCAGATATTTGGGAGTGGACGTGTCAGCGGATGGGTCTATGAAAGATGAGGTGAATCATAGAATTTATGAGGGGAAAAGGGTGAGTGGTGGCACTTAGGAGTCTGTGGAGACAAAGAAAATTTGTCCTTGGAGGCAAAAAGGGGAATGTATGAGAGTATAGTTTTACCAACGCTCTTATATGGGTGTGAAGCATGGGTGATGAATGTTGCAGCGAGGAGAAGGCTGGAGGCAGTGGAGATGTCATGTCTGAGGGCAATGTGTGGTGTGAATATAATGCAGAGAATTCGTAGTTTGGAAGTTAGGAGGAGGTGTGGGATTGCCAAAACTGTTGTCCAGAGGGCTGAGGAAGGGTTGTTGAGGTGGTTCGGACATGTAGAGAGAATGGAGCGAAACAGAGTGACTTAAAGAGTGTATCAGTCTGTAGTGGAAGGAAGGCGGGGCAGGGGTCGGCCTAGGAAAGGTTGGAGGGAGGGGGTAAAGGAGGTTTTGTGTGCAAGGGGCTTGGACTTCCAGCAGGCATGCCTGAGCGTGTTTGATAGGAGTGAATGGAGACAAATGGTTTTTAAGACTTGACGTGCTGTTGGAGTGTGAGCAAAGTAACATTTATGAAGGGGTTCAAGGAAACCGGCAGGCCGGACTTGAGTCCTGGAGATGGGAAGTACAGTGCCTGCACTCTGAAGGAGGGGTGTTAATGTTGCAGTTTAAAAACTGTAGTGTAAAGTACCATTCTGGCAAGACAGTGATGGAGTGAGTGATGGTGAAAGTTTTTCTTTTTCGGGCCACCCTGCCTTGGTGGGAATCGGCCAGTGTGATATAAAAAAAAAATAATTATTATTATACATATTATTATTATTATTGTATTATACTATTATTATTATACGTATTATACATCTTTCTTCTTTCAACAAACCGGCCGTATCCCACTGAGGCAGGGTGGCCCAAAAAGAAAAACAAAAGTTTCTTTTTAAATTTAGTAATTTATACAGGAGAAGGGGTTACTAGGCCCTTGCTCCCGGCATTTTAGTCGCCTCTTACAACATTCATGGCTTATGGAGGAAGAATTCTGTTCCACTTCCCATGGAGATAAGAGGAAATAAACAAGAACAAGAACTAGAAAGAAAATAGAAGAAAACCCAGAGGGGTGTGTATATATATGCTTGTACATGTATGTGTAGTGTGACCTAAGTGTAAGTAGAAGTAGCAAGACATACCTGAAATCTTGCATGTTTTTTTTTTATTATTATTATCACACTGGCCGATTCCCACCAAGGCAGGGTGGCCCGAAAAAGAAAAACTTTCACCATCACTCACTCCATCACTGTCTTGCCAGAATGGTACTTTACACTACAGTTTTTAAACTGCAACATTAACACCCCTCCTTCAGAGTGCAGGCACTGTAC